GCTTTGTCTAAGAAATAATTCTCGTTTATTTTAATGTACTTCATTTCTTCCTTTAGCCGTTCACTGCTCGTGTGTGACCATTTGGCGAATTTTATATGCCAAAGTTTTTAAAAAATAAAAACACATAAAAGTGTCATTTCGTTTTTTCCAGATAATACCAAGAGCTTTCGTTTCATCATTTTTGATAAATGGCTTATCTTGAAAAATCTTTTCTAAATCTAAACAATTGGATTCGAATTTCCAAAGATTGAATCCACTTTTTTTTAATATTAACTTACACCATTTGTTAAAGTTAATGCATTGACTTACTTCATCAAAAAAGAATTAAGATTGCCAACATAAAGACTATTTACAAGTTTATTAACATATGACGGATTACTTCTTAAATATTGTTCCAAATGTAATTTTAACGTTCCATTAAGTAAAAATGGAGACAACATTACTCCAAACAACACTCTACATAGACGATATGATACTAATTTTTAATTTGATGAATTTTTAACAGATACATTATAAATGTCATCATACCACTAAAATCTAACATAATCTCGACATTTATTTGTATGGCATTTTTAAAGAAAGGCTTTCTCAATATCTGCAATAAAAGCAAATCTTTTTGAACGAAATCGTAAAAAACTTTCAAAAGGTGATATAGTCAAACTAGGACCTGAATATAGACATTCGTTAAGTGATGCTCCAAGCGATTTTGAACTGGCATCAAATACCATTCGACTTTAGTTGCAATTATATCATCACGCTTCACCGGTCTGTGAGGCAAATAATTTTCATTTTCATTTAAATCATTAACTGAAACTTTTTTAATGATACCTTGTGATAATTGATTTTTAATAACATCATTTTATGAATTGAACAAATCTATATCTTTTAAAAATCGTTTTTTTAGGAATTTGCTCGAATTATACATAAGGAATAGTTATCAGGTAATATAAATTCATCACCCCTAAATGGTAAATCAACCATATAACAACCCAAACCTTTATCAAAAAAGTGGATTCTTTAAAATTATCTAATACTAAATCCTTTTCTTCACAACTATCTTTATAACCCCACATTTCTTTTAAAGAAGTTTTTAAAACAACATCATCTTCAACAAATTGAGATTGACCCTTTAAAACGTGCACCGTGTTGACACAAAAACATTACCACCAAGATTAAACTTTAAAGCAACAGGTCCAGAATTACCTCTAACGACTGTATCACCAAATAATTTATAATAAAAATTAGCTCCAACCAATATATCAACACTTACTGGACCATCTACAACTATATCAGCTAATGCTAGACCCTTTAAATGTTTGTAATTTCTAACAGCAAAATCAGTATTTCGGCCATTAATAGAGGCACATATGTCTTTGACAAAACAAGAAATTAAAACAAAGCAACCATTAGAACCCTTAACAGTAAATTGAACCCTTTCTAGTATTTCTCTTTCACTCTGATTTCCAAAAGTATTAATAATAATTCTCATTGAGTATAACTTTTTAAATTAAGTTTACTTTGCAATGATGGTGAGATGTAACTAACTTGTAAGCAGCTGTCGAACAATATACGTGCAGGTTGAGTGATATTATTAGCGGTTACATTTACTCTGGCTGTTTGCAATAAGACTGAGTTATTACACTTTGACAATGAAGCTAATATATATATATATATATATATATATATATATATATATATATATATATATATATATATATATATATATATATATATATATATATATATATATATATATATATATGTATATATATATATATATATTTTTATATACATATATGTATATATATATATTATATATATATATATATATATATATATATATATATATATATATATATATATATAATATTATTTGCTTTAAGAAGCGATTTATTCAGTTTTTAGTGCAATTTTTTTTATTAACTATTTCTACTCTAATTGTATTTAACTAGTTATATTACGTCCTATGTTATTAAAAAAAAAAAATTTAATTTAGATTAGAATAATGCAAAAATATAGATTAATAATAAGTTTATATATTGTTACATATTTTTTAGTAATTTATATAATTAATATGTTATTATTTTACCCAAAGCAATGAAAAAATAAATTTAACAAGTAAATTATTATACATTTTATAAGGTAAATTATAATGTCACAAATTAAAATAACAACTCAACAAAATATCAAGCTTTTGGTTCTTCCTGAAATGTTAACACTCATTTGGTTAAAGGTGTCAACACAAAACAAACTTGTTAAAAATGTTTTAAATAAGATTAGTCGCTTAGTTTACTAATACATATAAATTAATTTTCAAATACATATATAATATATATGCATTTTTTATATAATGCTATATATTATACAGATGTTTACTTTTCTATCCAACTTTAGTTTTACTATTTTCTAGGGTTAATTTACATATACATACTATATATTTTGGCCTAGTAAAATTTTAGGCTTGGTAGGTCTTTCGTAACAATAATATATATATATATATATATATATATATATATATATATATATATATATATATATATATATATATATATATATATATATATATATATATATATATATATATATATATATATATATATATATATATATATATATATATATATATATATATATATATATATATATATATATATATATATATATATATATATATATATATATATATAATTTATAAATATTTTAAAGGAATAAAAACGTCACAAAAAATCAATTTACCACTTGCATGTGTACTTGACTATTTCCTGCTGCTTTAACTGTTGTTGCAACAGGTTGGACTGTGTATAAAATGTTAAATAAAATTAAACACCCAAAACTAAATTAACAATAAAAAATATATTCTTGCGGAATTTAGAAAACTGTGTAATATAGCTATATATATTATTGTTCTAACCATGTTAATTTATCTACTAAAGAGAAAATAAATGATATGATTCAACAGTCATAAGTAAGTAAATTTATTTTTTCTTTAGTGGTTATCATTTAGGAGTATTAATAATACTTAAATTTTTAAACTATTTTTCAGTTTACACTAAAAACTTACACTAAAACTGAAGATTCATTATATAAATATTTGAAACTCACTAATTTTGGTTGTTATTGGCTGCACTAAAAGTCTAAATATTATAGCATTGCTGTTTGATCAATATAACATCTATCCTAAACAAATAGATGTTAGGTCTTAATATAAACAAACAACAACAGCATTATCTAGGAATATAAGGAAAAGTTACCTCGTAAATTGAACAATTTCTTCTCTAAAAGTAGAAAAATTAGAAAGCTAAGAGTTAACTATAGAAGTTCTATAGCGTTGTTAAAAACTATTTTAAAAAAATATTTAAGAAATAGTTTAAAAAAATGCTAAAACTGCTACTTTTTTGAAACTACTGTTACTTTTTTGAAACTGCTATATTAGTAGCAGTTACTACTAAAGAAAAAAATTATCAAAATACATTGTTGTTGTACTTAAAGTTACATTTAATCGCTCATACAATATTACCAATGAACTTACAGGACTATTTAATTGCTTCAATGAAGAAGCTAAAAAGGTATTAGCCACAAAACAATACTAAAAATAATTTTTTTTTTTTTTCTAAACCATTTATTACATAATTTAAAATACATAAGAATTTCTAATTTTTATTCATAATGAAAGATTCAAATGTTAGTCACATTCTGTGCAAAACTAATTTAATTTAGTTAGTACGTAATCTAATACGTAATTTTCCGTTCGGAAACAATGTGATATTCAGAACTCATTTAGAATAGATTCCTAAACGTTTAGAACGACGTAAATAAATCTAAACGTGATCTAAACCAATTTTAAATCAACAAATGCCCGTTTGGATTATTTAGAACGCATAAATAAAGTTTTTCCAACCAAAACTGCTTCAGATAGACAAAAATTATACAGCTAAAGGTTTCTGCCTAACATACTAAGACAGGTAAAAAGCTGAGTAAAAATTAGCTCGTAGATTGTATACGAGCCGTATATTGTATACTTTTTTTAGTTGCAGATTGTATACTTTTTTGACATGACAGCTAGTATCTTTATAATAGGTAGTTTCAGCCTATTTTATAAACACTAACTAGCATGTTCCGGACGATACGGGTTTTGGTAGGTTTAAATCCACACCCGACTATTTCTTAACTTGCTCCTAATTTAGCCTTTACACTTTAATTTGTTTTAGTAAACGGCAAAAAATAAATCAATTTAAAGTTCAGGTAGCTGATAAGATGCGAACTTTTTTGCGAACAAAAATTCTATTGCTTATTAAGTTCTTGCCTTCTGGTAAAATTTAATTTACTACACTTTAAAACTATTTAGTATTTTTACATATTACATTATTACTTGAATATTTTCTATATTAAAAAAGTATCTTTAGCACATATGACAGTTGTGTAACATTTTTTCAGGTGTTTTTTTGCAAACTTAGGCTATGATAATAATATTTTAACTATCTTATAAGGATTTATTTAAAAAGCACATTTGAACATTAAAAAATCGGCCAAGAAATCTATTTATTTCAAATAAGTTAGCTTTATCTGTTTGATATTTTTCATAAAAACCTTTTTGTAAAAAAAACCTTTAACAAATTAATACAATTAAGCTGTTTTTACCGCGGAATTAGGTAAATAAATTTTTAAACATGTTATCTGTGCAATCAATACTAAATGCAAAAGGATACCGTCTTGATCGTACTAAAGGTAAAATGTAAAGGTAAAAAAAGTAGAAATGGTTCCCATATACATATACAAAGATAATCATGGAAATATAAAATCCATTCAAAACAATAATTCCAAAAAAAAATAATATAGAAATTTCTTTGAGAAATTTATGTAAGAAACTCTCTTGACAGAAATTAAAAAAATTAATCTTTGAGAAACTCTCTTGACAGAAATTAAAAAAATTAACTTAAAAATAAAAGAACAAAAAAATTTTGTTTTCAAAAATGCTTATAAAAACAATTTAATTTGCAACATTCTTTCATTAATATATATTTCATTATTTAATTTTTAGTAAATGGTATGAAGATTACCAAGCTTCGTTTTAGCGTTTTGAATACAATCAACATTCAGAACATTTTGTAAATTCTGCTACGTAAGAACTATTAAAATTAGTCATAGGAGAAAGAATTTGACCTAAAAATAGAAAAATTAATATTGAATAAACTTAATACACTTTATTTGTTATGTACTCTAATTATTTATTTGAAAACTCAAAAATGTGACTAAACAGATAACAAATAAGAAACTTACTTTGTGAAGTTGTTTATCTTTTGTAAAATTATCAAGATTTACTGTTGCAAGATTAGATTAATAACTCTTTTTAAAAAATCAAAGCTAAAAATAAATGATCACAATAAGATATACCTTTATTGTTATTTGAAAACTAAATCTTTAACTTTTAGTGAATAATTATATGTCGTCTGTTTCAGTAATGAAACAACCCAAAAATCATTTTAAATTAAAGACCAAGACGTGAAAGTAAATCAGGTCATCAAATCTATCAACACAAAAAATAACAAAAATAATATCACAAAATTAACAAATAACATAAATTATTACAGTAAACTTTAATTACTCAAACCTCAAGAGGGACCAAGAAATAAGTTTGTTAGAGAAATCTATAACTATTGAAACTTAATTCATAAAAATGCTCAAATGAAATATTAAAATTAGTTTAAGTTAAGGTTTATTGAGTTACCCAGAGTTTAATTTTCATATTTTAACTACTCACAGCACACACATTGAAAACTAACAAAATATAAACCAATATAGCCTTGTTTAACACATAATAAAAACACACATTACCACATCATATTTCACATAAAAATATTTGGCAAAAACTATAAATAAGGAATATTTACAAATATAATACTTGTGACATTTTCATTCAATGACACACCTTGTTTATGCATGTATATATATATATATATATATATATATATATATATATATATATATATATATATATATATATATATATATATATATATATATATATATATATATATATATATATATATATATATATATATATATACAAATTAGACCAAAATATCACAAAAAAAGAAAAATTAGTACGATGCTGTTTTGATGTTTTACAACTTATATATATATATATATATATATATATATATATATATATATATATATATATATATATATATATATATATATATATATATATATATATATATATATATAAGTGTATATATATATATATATATATATATATATATATATATATATATATATATATATATATATATATATATATATACAAATTAGACCAAAATATCACAAAAAAAGAAAAATTAGTACGATGCTGTTTTGATGTTTTACAACTTATATATAAATATATATATATATATATTTATATATATATATATATATATATATATATATATATATATATATATATATATATATATATATATATATATATATATATATATATATATAAGTGTATATATATATATATATATATATATATATATATATATATATATATATATATATATATATATATATATATATATATATATATATATATATATATATATATATATAATTATTTAGAGGTAGGATAGTACTTATAAAAATCTAATATCAAAAAAAAGTAATAATAAAAACAATTATTCAATGTATTGAGTCAAGCAAAAGTGAGTACAACAATTAGCTTATTTTGCTAGTCTAAAAAAGCTTACTTTGTATAATATTTTAAGTCTAAAAAAGCTTACTTTGTACAGTCAAATTTGATTTTTTTACCTTGAGGTTTTTTAAAAAATGGCTACTGTATTAGGTACCATAAATTACGTCACGCAGTTTTTATCATTTTTTAACTCTTTTCCTCTCGTAACACTTTATTCCCCCTCCCCCAATATTTCGCTACAATTATGTACCCCTCCCCTCCAAAAAAAAAAGAATTTTCAAAAGAGGAGGGGGGTGGTAAAGAACTTTACAAAGTACAAAACGATTTCAAATACAAAAATGTCTTTAAGTCTCTGAGTTAATTATTTAGCACTTTTTAGTCTGTATAATATCTTTTTTACGCCAATACACAGTGTGCCCAGGACATAAAAAAATTCCTTAATCTGACAATTTATTTTTTCACTTATAATAGTATTTTTATAATGTTTAGGGCATATGTAGGTCAATCCGAAAAATTTTTTGAAATTCATCGAACCATTTTGTTTTTATAGCTGTTTGAAGTTAAAGAAATATTTTATAGCTGTTTGAAGTTAAAAAAAATATTGAGGCAAAATATTTGTCTTAAAATTGTACCAATACTGCTTTTTAACAACAACTTTGAACAATGCTATACATTAAAAACTACTCCATGAATTAAAAAAAAAATTCTTTCCTGGTCTGTAAATAATATTTAATTTGTGAATTACTTAATGAAAATAAATACTGAAGTTTAAACAATTTTTTTGTGCAATTTTGTTTATTCTAAAAAAAATATATATATAAATAAAAAAAAAAAAAATATATATATATATATATATATAAACAAGAAGATTTGTATATCAACCAGATACAATAATAAACAACAAGTGTTTTATGAAAAAACTAAAGGAACTTGTAGTATGGATACAAAAGTTCTAGCATGACACAAAAAAGTCAAAGAATATCTTTTTAATACAGATATCAGTTTTGTAAATACTATTAAAACTATACCTCGTAAAACACTCCATATATTTACTAGATTTTCTAAGTTTAACTTTTCCCCATTTCCTTTTCGATTTAATTTGGACTGTATCTTACTCGAAAATGTCCTGATAAATACTTTAATAATAAACTGAAATATATTTATAAAAATTTTTATTTTAATATATATAATAAATTAAAATATATTTTAATATGTAAATGCTTAAAATTATGAAAGGTATAAGCATTAAATTTCAAAATAAAATGCTAAACAAGATTTAGCATTACATTTATTTTAGCTCACAAACAAACTTAAATACCTACAGTGAAGCTACCGAGTTTCTCAAATTGTCATGTTAAAAGTAAATCCATAACAAATATTGGTCAAAATGAATTGGTTTTGGTCCCTTTTAGTCATATTTCTAATAATTAATAAAAACATTATCTTTTACCTTTTCATGATCAAAAAAACATGTTCTTTTGGCTTTCCGTAACCAATCTTTTTCAAACTATCAAGCTGAAATAAATGTAATAAAAATTAGTTTAATTAAATTTCTTTACAACATATTGAGTCTATCACAAGCTAGTTATTTTAGTTCATTTACAAATACTTTTTATTTAGATTATAAACTTATAAACCAAATTTAAACAAACTTATTAAAAATTAAGATAATTTGATTATACCAAATTAGTATACTCGGTTTTATCTTTTAGTTTATTATCCAGTGTAACCATTTCGTCCACTGATTCTAGCAACTTTACCCCAGTAGCCTAAAACTTAATTTATATAACTTCTTTTAAAAGAACTTTTATTTTTGCAAGCTCCTTGAGAATAACATTTTGCATCTCTACAAACAAGAATAAAAAATTGATTAACATATTCAGCTCATAAAACCAAATAGCTAAACAATGTAATAACAACTTCAAATTATTTCAATTAAAATTCAAAATATTGAGTAACTCAAACTTAAATTCCAAAAATATATGTAACTTTTTTTATTACTTCATCGCAGAAGTTGCCATAATATTTTGGAAAACCTACTTTTTAAATCAGCTAAAACTTTATCCGTAGAATCAGACAAAGGCAAAAGAAGCAGATTGGAAACCTAATAAAAAATAATTTTGACTAAATAAACTACTTTGCAATAATAATCTAATAAAAAAATAATCCACTCAAGTTATAGGTAAACCCGCTGAAAATAAATTAAACATTCAAGATTTACAGACATTCTTATTTAATTTTGACAAATAAACAACAATAAATAATATTCAGATTTATGTCAAACCAATACTGATAACCAGTGGTGTGGAGTTGTAAAAAAAAAGTAATGACTCCGACTCCAGTTAATGAAACTTTTTGAGTACAACTCCAACTCCAGTTGTTGAAATTTTTTTGAGCACAACTCCGACTCCAACTCCAACTTTGATTACAACTCCAAAGCAATATTTTTAAAAAAGTCTTCAAACTCTTTAAAAAATTTTACGGGATAAGTTAAAAATTTCTTTTTTGATAAATTTATAAAACGTTCTTTGAGGTTTAAAATGAACATAAGATTAATTGAATGTTTTGTACATGCACGTACAATACCGAGAAGTTTTACTATTGGAGACAGAGTCGCGATTTTGTTTTAGCGACTCCAACTCCGCTGAAAATGTCTCTACTCCGCAGCTCTGACTCCACAGCCCTGGTGATAACTTACGTGTATTTTTCTTTGGGCTTGGCTTAAGAGCAATTCTTGATATTTCCTCTTGTAAAAAGTTACGATGTTAAAGAATTTTGGTAAAGGTAAAGTTGACCAAATGCTACACACATGATTTATCCGATTTTTATCGATATTTATCGGGATCACAATATTATAAATAATCCATTTCTACTCTTTTATACCTATCTTTTACAATTATTTTAAAACAAAAACATATTAATAAAAGAGACCTCCACATTAACATTCAGTGGTGTAAAAACCAAAACTACTCACATTAAAACTTGAAACTCTTTGACAATGTGAACTTTGCTTGGTTTTATTGTGTTCATCAATAAAATGTGAAGAAAAAGCATCTTCTTGAATCTCTGAATCTGATAACAATTCTATTCAAAAGAAACAATTATAATTAGAACTATAAATAATCCCTCAACCATACCTGTTACTTAATTTAATCTTTTAACCAATTTTGTAGTCTTTCAATTTCTGAATTCAAACAATTTCAGCATGCTTTCAATCAAATTTCAATTTTCATATCAAGTCGATTAAAGGATTATTTAATACAATAGTATGTTGTCAATGATATAAATGTATGTAACCAATTTAACAACATTACATATAATAGGAGATTCAAATAGTTAAAATAAAAGGAAATCTTAGTAATACATAAAAAAGACTAATAACTAGATAAATATTATTCATATCAAATTAAACAAGAATCTATTTCAGTTTATAAACCATTAAGAAAAAATTATGATATTTGTTTTATACTTTTAGCATTGGGCTTATTCATAATAGGTGGCGGAGGTTCTGGCAATGAAGAGCGGTATGATTTGTTATTCTTATTTTTAATGCTTTCTTTAACATATATCTCATCTGATGTAAAAAGTTGTATTCTTCAAAACATGAAAATAAATCTAATTATAAAATACTTTTCTATAAAAAATTAATTAAGTTACCTTTAAAAAAAACACAAAACAAGTTATATACTGACCATCTGTAATCTTACACTTTATCAATGGAAACTTGTGCCATTCTTTTGTTGATGAAAGGTTGTTTTTCAGTGCATGATTATAGTTTTTTTTGGGACAATAAATTTGTTGCTATTTTTTGTCAATCCACTTCTTTAGTGCAACATTACTTGGTTAAAAAAACATGCAGAAAAACTTTCCTTCAAAGTTGGGTTATGCATATACTCATTAGGCTTTTGGTCACAAGAGTATTCATTGTACAAAATTGATGATTCATGATGGTCAAAATATTCTTTTAGATTTTCGCAAGATAAGAACTCATTTCTTTTAAAAGTTTCAACAGTCGATTTTTTTTCTATATGTACTGATAAAAGTTCTAATATTTTTTAATATTTCTTTTGAACACGTCTACTGCGTCTCCTTTCGTATGCACTTTTTGTAAAAGACATAAATGAATCTTGGTTCCTCGATAAAAACGATAAGTGCACAACCAATAAAACAATCTTTTGTGTTATTGAAAAACACTTATATATATATATATATATATATATATATATATATATATATATATATATATATATATATATATATATATATATATATATATATATATATATATATATATATATATATATATATATATATATATATATATATATATATATATATATATATATATATATATACATATATATATATATATATATATATATATATATATATATATATATATATATATATATATATATATATATATATATATACATATATATATATATACATATATATATATATATATATATATATATATATATATATATATATATATATATATATATATATATATATATATATATATATATATATATATATATATATGTGTGTATTTGTATACATATAATCATAATAATCATTAATGTCTTCCATTGGTTAATAATAATCATTTTTTTTTTTTTTTTTTT